AGTTAACCTGAGGGATTCACTTCCGCAACAGGCAGAGGGGGCTTGAAAGGGGATCAGGCGAGTTCAGGCAAGAGCAGATGGCCATCCCAGGGTGCTGGTCCTCATGGCCACATGCTACCCTCAGAGCATCAGGAACACCAGCTGCCGGGGAAGATGGGTGCTGTTGCACTCCTGCAGTGCTTGTGAGTTCCTCAGGGGAGCAGACCAGGTCTCCAGGACTCGCCCGTCACACACCAGCTGATCCGACTTGTGAAAAGTTCTACCACCAGCCTTCCCAATGGGCTTCCCTCCGGATCTCTTGGCCTGTAACCCCCACCATGCTATGCCTGGCAGGACTTCAACAGGTCAAGATGCCCCTCCGCACTGGAGGGATAAATACCTTGCGTCCCAGTTGAACTTCTGCCTGACATCATGGATGTTGGAAGGATTCTTGCCAAAGAACTCTTGGAGGACGCGAGCCTGGGGCAAACATTCCTCCAGAGGGGCTGCAGGGGAAGGAGGGCAGGGGCAGCTTCTCCCCACTCTCACCCCCCCATCACTCCAGCCACAAGCTTCTTTGGGGGGCTCCTTCCCCTTCAGCAGTAGCATCTTGTCCAGCAAGGAGATCAGGGAGGAGGAACGCTTCCCCTGTTGAACTTCCACCTGCCGCGTAGCTGCGGAAGCCCCAGACACAGACGTCCTCTCCCTGCATCCCATCCCTCCTCTCCTCCCCGTCAAAGCATCCGGGGAGCAGCCAATTCACCCCCTGGGAAAGCACCCCAAGGCCTGGATGGGGGCCACCTTCCCAGGCTCTCTGAGCACCCATGGAATGGCAAAGGGGGCACCCCTCAGGTCCACCCCACTCCCAAAACCCTTGCCCCCCTACCAGGGACCCACAGTTTCATCCTCAGGGCAAAGGAGGGGAAGCAGGAGGCAGCGAGGGAGACAAGGGAGAGGCGCAGGGACGCCGCGAAAGGCACCGCAGGCTGGAATTCGGGGCTGCCACGGACCGGCCATCCTGGGGGCTTCGTTCAGGGGGTCACCAGAGGTCGGAGACACCCAAACAGCCCATATTTTCGGGGAGGACAGAGAGGGTCCCTCCCTCCCCTACAAGCAGCCCCCTCCTCACCTGGGGGCTCCTGCCTCCCTCCCACTCCAGGGACCAGGGGTGGCCCCAGCAGAAGCACCAGCATCGCTGGAAGGATCCAGGCAGGCCCCATGGCTGCTGCTGCCCCACAAGTGGACGATGGGAAATGCTGCCTGAGCCCCAGAAGTGACTTTTTCTTTTAATTAGTGGGGGGGGGGCAAAGTCCATGGGAAGGTGCAGAAAAGCACCAATGAGAATTTTCCCTTGTCCAGCATCACCAGTCTCCGGGCAGAGGGAGCCCAGATGTGCCCCTGTGAAGGAGATTGGTTTTGGCTGCGAAGGAGGCAGCGCAAGCCCC